AGTCAGCCATTTTGAATCTTAGCTGAAAAACAAAATGATGTGCATCAAGGTCCTATGATGTCTAACGTATATATCAATTTTGAACAAAATCCATCTATGAACAACCGAAAAATGCTTAATTTTGATGATTTTTAGCACAAAAATGGCCGCCATTCGGCCATCTTGAATCAGATCATGAAACAAATTGATGTGCATATGTATGATATCATGTGTGATGTATGTGTGAAGTTTGATTGTGATTGGTCCAGGCATTTCTGAGATACAGGTCCGGACGCACGCACACACGGACACACAGAGGTCAAAACATAAATCCCTGTTTTCTGGACTGTGTCCGAACAAGAACTTAAAAAAAAAAAAAAAAAAAATACAAAACATTTCATTGCATTGGCTCAAACACAGTACACAGAGATATGGCCAGCATTACTACATTTCTAGAACCTCTTCATGATGTGAAACACCAAATGTCTTGATTACAAAAGTTTTAAATACCAATGATTGTATTCAAAGATAGTGAGAATAAGATACAATAAATGATAACACACTTAGCTCACAGTTTAAGACATAGACATGAGCTTTACTCTGAATTCACATCTATCGAGAAGTGCTTGATATTTGCGTAAGGTACTAACAACACAAATAAGATCCAAATCTTCTAGACAGAAGCCAAACTTACCCAGTCAAGAATAAGTATCTTGTCTAATTTCAGTTTTTGTCTGAGTTGTTTTGCTGCAATGGCTACAGAGTTGAAAAAACAGAATCCCATGGCTTGAGTTGGTTCAGCATGGTGACCCGGAGGTCGCACTACGGCGAAACCATTCTTCAATTCTCCTGCGGCTACTCTAAATGAAAGTTCTATCACGCAACCTACAGCCTGGAAAAACAAACAAATTGAAGATGATTAAAAATGAATTTGACTCTATATTATTAAATATTAGATGCACATTTATAAATACCTGTGTGTATTCAGTGCCTTCACAATACAATGGCAATCCTGTAATCACATCGGCTCCACAGATAGCCGATACAAATGCTATATAACAGTGGCAGATCTGTTAAAAGACCGGCCATATACATCCTGTGGTTTGGATAGAGCTTAGTTTTCTAATTTGACGGATAATTCAACAACAGCAACTGTCAATAATTCATTGTTCGCAGAGCGTCAATGTCTGCGATTGTCTCTTGTTTATGTGTGTAGCTACTGATCTAAACTGTGAAAAGTGAAATAAACCTGGTCTTTCAAGGATCAGTTGTTGTCCATTCTTAGCTGGCTTGCAATGTTTTCTTCAAGAAACTCATCTGACCTCTTACTACTTATTAGATCAGTAATCAAAATACTTGTATTTATCATATCTTACCATTCTGG